ATAATAATTTATATGTTATAACAAAATTAATAACGTAAAAAATCAATTAAAAATCCTATTAGAATCGTTTATTTCCACGCGGACAAAGTCGCGGCCAAAAGCTAGTTAAAATATAATGGAGGACGCAAGAAATACTATTTTACTTAATTACTATCTTATTTACATATATCTTGTCTTTATAAATGCATAAACGGACTATAAAATATCTCAACAATACTTCTGCTCCGAAAAAGATCTGACTTAACCTCAAATCATGCGTTAAGAAGATTCACTTCGAGAAATAAGAACCATATCCTTTAAACTGTTCGGCAAAGGCAACCTCCCATTTCTGAGAAGATAACGAAACAATTGTCTACGTGAAACACTTAGTATGCCACGCTGCTCCAATGTATATTGACGGACTTTACATATCCTCTATAGTATTGTTTTTGTTAGTTATGCAAGTTTCCTCACGATATTTTTCTTGACCACTGCGTCCATGGTAAATCAGCTCTTAAATTTGCAAGTCACAATTCAATTGGTGCAGTCGGGAACCAGATCTGAGTTGGTCGCGTTTTGTAAATAAATAGTAAGCACTTAGCTTCTGAGTTTTCAACCACGGCTAATTAAAATCAAATATAAAGAAACCCTCCATGAATGAATGTTCGAAAAAGGCAAATAAATAGAGCTAACTGGAACTGTTCCACGAAACTTGCGAAATTTACTTTGTGGATTTCGCAAGCCCAAGGAAAAAAGTCGCTGCCACAAATAGATGCAATACTGTAACTCGTCAAAAAAGCGCAAGAAATTTTTTATGTAAAGCACAAATTTAAGAGCAACGCCATATAAAAATATTAATGTCAACCTAACCGATGTTGAAATAACGAAAGCGAAATCGAGTGTTAACAAAAAGTAATGTTATGTTGCCTCTCCTCGTAACACATTAGCGCATCTTTTGAATCTGAATGTGTGTTAAGATGGCTGAAAGTAACTATAGTTTAGAGGGTCGTCAGAATTTCAAAAATATTACAAAGTGTTGGCTGTACAATAAGTCTATGGAACTAATTAGTGGGGCCCAATGCACTATCAGGTATAAGATTGCTTTACTCTGTTTCATTAACTCAGTAAACACACCTGACGAGATTCGATACTAGTATTAAAAATACGTGTTGGGGTGCAATTGTATCTATTATAGACGCAACAATTTATATGGAAGTCACCCATTTATTTGCTTTTTTTTTAAATATTAGTAGTTTTAAAATATTTAACAATATCATCTGATAATATGCTCCGAAATGCAAATTCTTTTGTACAAGCATTTACATTTTGTGTGAGTAATGACACGGCTACAAAACGGAAAGAATTCAGTGACTACAAAAGTGAGGATATGAATATGTTGCAATATCTTGATCAGATTTTGTTAAATTACTGTCAAAATTCCATTGATGTTTTAATAATTCTCTATATTTTTAATAATTCTCTATATTCTCGTTTCTGCCCCAATTAATTTTATAATCCAGTAGTGGTGCCCCGCGGTGTAATCCGTGTATGGTCACCCGTCTGAGGCGCGCGACATGACACCTAGTTCAAGCATTTTGGCAAAATACATAGTGACAGAGAGAAACAAATTAGAAAATGGGCAGCAGAGTCTTCCTAAGAACGTCTAAACATAAGGAACAGTGGTTGACCGGCTTGTCAAGCTTGGCAACTATGGCAAATATCCCCCCTACGAGGCAATCTATGAGGGAGGCCTATGTTCAGCTGTGGGCTTTAATAGGCTGTAACGGTAGCCATTTTCAATAAGCAAACCAATTAATCTACAAATAATGTCGAAAGAATGTAAGTTGAAAATCCTTTATGTGATCGCAAAAGGCCTTTTAGCTCCGTGACGATTTTAGTATGGTTTTCGTCAGAAACCCTCACTTTACACACTGTATCGTGTAAGTACCGTTTTATTTAAAACTGGAAAAAAACAGCGATTCGGGACACTTTGTGTCAGAGTGGTGATGCCCCCTCGGGAGGGTAAGGGTGAGTGGATAAAATGTAATTTTGCTCTATAACGTATATGTACGTTAGATAAAAGCCAATCCTGTAGCTAAAATACAAATATTCATATTTCGCTGAATGGCCGCATCCATTAAAAATTTCAAAATAGCATAGCAACTCTTCTTAAAGATCATATTCTATTCTTTACTTTACTCATACAAATCTTGACGATAAAATGAGAAATTTTTGAGAAAAATAAATTTTGAGAAAAAAAATCGATTTCATATTTCGTGGCAGTTTGAGCGAAAATTGATGCGCGGGGATAGGAGACGCTAACCTGGGACAACACGTATATATTGTACTGATAGATAAAAGTAATTCATTAATTTTGACAGTTTTTTAGACAAAATTCTTGAACTAACCTCGCTTGTTCTCTGCTGGTTTTTCTCGGGTGTCATCAGGCGATTGGGATTTATGCGTCGTTCGTGCGCCGAGCCGAGTGTTGAATTATTTTAATTTTTCATTATCTCATATACTATGCATCCAAATAAAATGCTTTATAGAGCAAAGTTTATCTTCATAAAATTGTTCTGATGATGAAGTAACGTGCCTAATAATAACGCTCATAAATCACTTTTTAATTTTCAATAGTTTGTGTCACAAAATACCTTATTGTAGTTTGCGAATAAGAAAAAGATATATGGTATCCCGGACTTTTTTAGATGGAGTATAGATCTATATTATTATAAAACATTTACGTATACTATTTTCTTACGCCAGCGCATGTGGTTGAATCATTTCAGCAGCGCTTTTTCTACCGAATTGCTTAACAAAAATCAATATTTAATGCTATCTGAGAGGTGTAAATGTGCTACATATAAAGTCTATATGTGGCGAACCAATGGCACGCGTGTCATCGATGGCACGCGACACAATATTTTGAGCACGACACTGATCACAAATTTCACTAAGAAGTTGGTCGGGACTCATTTGGATTCTGCCGACATTTTAAATGATCTCCAGACTCCCAAATAACTCAAAATCTCCAGACAAACAGCTTCTATTCACATCACAGCTGCCTTTGATTTCATAAAATCTGAATTAGTAATTATACTAAACTTTGAAGTAAATTGTTTGGATTTTAATTTTTTTCTGAATGCTAGTAATGGATCCAAATTGGTGGACCCAGTAAAGACAAACCAAAAAATGTATTTTCCAATGTATAATATACTAATAACAAATGTCTCAACTCAAAACTCTTTATTTCTATGACCTCATCAAACATTTCTTTAGAAAAATGGCACCCATGGTCACGGGGGGGACTGAGGTGTTCAACGTCCAAATGTCATAGTTAAAAACTTTTAACCATGGGTTACTTTGACTTTGACCATGGGTGCTGTAAAGCGCTCGAAACGTCGGGTATTTATAGTTAAATATACGCGATAAAATCCGTAAAAACTAGTATTATTTCAAAACACATTAGTTTTTTACCAATAAACTAATACTGAAATTATTGAAAAACTATCATTATCCTTATAGTTTAAACAAAGATATTTTAAATATGTATATGCCAGAATTAAGAATATCATAAAGTAGTCGATCGTTGCGTGAGATGGTAGTATTTCATAAAATTTTACACTGTTTGTTGACGTTATCGTGATATAGCTTGACCAAATCAACGAATGGAGATTTCGTAAAATATTAGAAGCGCTAATAGCGCATTTTTGACAAAAGCAAAAAATTTAATAGAATCTACATCACTTTATGTCTAATTTATGTATTATATAAATATTTGCGGCTTTGTTGTGCAATCGGGCCAACCCCAAATAATTTCCGCTGAGTAGGTACTAGAGGGTACAGTTTTGGTTTTCACAGTTTTACTCTAATAAGAGCACCATGTACTTACTGCTAATAAACTAATAAGAGCACCATGTACTTACTGCTAAATAAACTAATAAGAGCACCATGTACTTACTGCTAAATAAACTAATAACCAATCAATCCAAACGTAAATTTCATAGTACCTAATCAACCACCACCATTATACACCATTTTAACCACAATTCGAAGTGTCAATTTACCACGTTCTCGGTGGTGAAGGAAAAGATCGCGAAGAAACCATATGCATATCTGAGCAATTAAAAAATAATGTAAAATATTTTTAGGTATATGTGAAATCGTTCATCCCGCGTTGGAGTCAACACAATCAACTGCTGCTATGTACGTTACTACCTATTAATTTTAGTATTGCTATCCACTGCTGCTGATGCGCATGGGCTAAACTATGTTGTTATCAGGAAGGTGCTGCCACCCATCTCCTGTTTCAGTTTCATTTAGTCGCCTCTTACGACACCCACGGAACAAAATGGAGTATTGGTTTCTCTTTCTTAATAGATAGCCGCATCAATTAGATTTCCTCTATATATTCCAAAATAAGGTGGGTATTTACCGTAGTTGCCACGTTTGGCCACTGCATAGTTTTGTTATTATGAGCTGTAATCAGAAAGACGTTGCTGCCCATCTTCTGTATATTTCTACTCCCGTTGATAAATAATAGTTCTTCTCACACGTGTAACGTTTAATATAGAATTATGAATTTTCTGTCTTCTCGAACCAATTAAACAAACGTAAAAAATACTGGCATATTATGTCTTATGTTGCTAATCAACGATCAATGGGGTCAATGATTTGAATCGAATATCGCAAAAGAAAAAACATTATGCCGTGTATTAAAAAAAGACCATGAAATTTAACATTATTTCGTCGAAAATTTATGTATGTAAATCACGCATTTTTTCATTTTAGACACATCGGAAGACATGCCCGATATAATAAATGATAGATAGCTAGACGTATGATATTAATACAATTCTAATTAACTCATTTATGTGTTTCTGTAGCATATTATATTGCAAAATTTCAATAGTTTACGTTCAATATAGACACAGATACACATACATACAGATAGTACATAATATAATTAAGATATTTCTTAAAATAAACGAAACATATTCTTAATATACCATTTGTTACAGATGGACTTAATCGGTGAGAGTATTTTTAACTTTATTCACGAAGAAGATCATCAAATGCTTAGGGAACAACTCATGCCAAAGAGCTGCCTTTTGAGACCTAACGGTGAACTTCTTATTCCTGAATCGCCTGACGCAGAACAAAAGGTTGCTGATATACTTGCTAAAGAAAGGAGAAGATTTATTATTAGGTATGAACGTTTTGACAAAAGCAAAAAATTTACTTTGCTATAAATTAAGTCTTCGAATTTTCTTAGATTTAATTAATTTACTTACATTTAATTCATTTAATTGTATAATATATAAAGGTGTATATTTTCTTAAATCTTATATTCACTACTATAAGTTTCATGCTGGCAAACGTAATATGATTTAAACTATTTTAGACATAATAAACATACGTTCTATTGCGTGTAATATTTATTAGGTACATAAAGAAAAGTCTAAATCTTACTTGGTTGCTAAATGCAAATATTAATGAAACTCTTCATTACATTAGTAAGTGTACATAGCGATTGATGCCAGCGAAATTTGACTACTGTTAGTGCACTTGCTCCTACTGATATTGTATACACAGATTTGGATTTTATACACCTCGTATCTTTATTACGTGGCTTAATCTTTCTATACGTGATAGAGTCATACTGCAGCTATATTTGTATGGCTGTAGCACCACGAGGAAAAACCACGCTGTCATAGAATACCAGCGTAAAATATCAGATAAATGATGCTGTGTTTCGTATGGTGAGTGTAGAGAACCGGAGACCCTTTTTACTGGAAACGAGGCATTCCATCTTAGTCCTCACGGGTGGCAATGCATCTGCATTTTGATTTATAATCGAAGATAGATGTATATGTTTATGGGCCACAGCATACACTTTCCATAAGGTGGTGTACTCGTTTGTTACTCATATTCTATAAAAAAATTAACTAAACATGAATTAGATAATGATTAAAACTACTTTTACTGATTTTATCGCGTTAATTTTACTATTATTTTTAATTCCCGACGTTTCGGGCGCTTTCCAACACCCATGGTCACGGGGGACTGAGATGACTGACGTCCCGATGTCATTGTTAAACCCATACCTTACACAATAATTAAAAAAGCTGAAGGTACTCCGGGTTTAACAATGACATCGGGACGTCAGTCATCTCAGTCCCCCGTGACCATGGGTGCTGGAAAGCGCCCTAAACGTCGGGAATTAAAAATAATAGTAAAATTAACGCGATAAAATCAGTAAAAGTAGTTTTAATCAATGTGTAGTGTTCGCGTAAATATAAGAAATCATTATGAATTAGATAACTTTGAATTGTTTAGTATGAAGCGTATTTAAAAATGCTAGTGCTGCGCTGTGCGTTTGTTTTAACTATAGTCGCATTTGGCTGTACATACTGTCAATTAATACTAATTCGATACCTGCTGAAGCCAACAAAAAAAGTATAATAAATTCAAATGTTCGAAAGTTTTATAACATGTTAAATTTCCTTTTTTGAGACAATTAATTTCTATAAGTCCACTTCTGAACATAACACATTTGCCATAGTTGCCACGCTTGGTTGGCAACCTCGGTTTTTCATCATTTTAGCAGTCATTAGGAAGATGCTGCTAACCATTTTTTTTTAAATATCTCTCTGTCGCCTCTTATACCTAAAGGATGATATTGTACAGTTGGTTTTTGACGTGTTCATGTTCTTTTAACAAAACTTAAATTCATCAGGTTTAAAAAACTTGGTCAACGTTCAGAGCCAAGAAAATATGTCACGTGTCATGTTGAGGGTACAATGAGGAAATCGGACAAGGCCTGCCGTAACAACAAGCAATGCTGTCGGACGGTGCGACGCATTAGGGCGAGAAGGGGCAATCCTTGCTCCAGTGGAAACGATGTGGTAATTGGAATTTGTGACAAGTTTTTTTTTTTTGTGATTGGCTTTTCGATGATATGTTGTATATCGATGAGTTGTACTATATTCTAATAGTTTCTTTTATTGGCTAATGATGTGAAGTTAATGATACGGTCTAATAAGTACATTATCTAATTAGTTTACTAAGAAAATCGTACAATATAAGAGCGAGTAGGTCTCGCGCCCTAAGGACTCTGCTTGAACTTAAATATGTATGAAGATAGTTCATCCTTCCCGTGAATCACAGGTAAATGAAGCACTGAACCGAAAAACAAGTCAGATAGAAGGACAAATATAACTTTGTAGTGGAAAAAATGTTCTTCCATAAATCTGTCTACCCGTACATCACGATCGATGCTGTAACTGCAAAATGTAAATTAGTAATTACAAAAGAATGTTATATGATATAGCTATAATTTATAATGTTACTATCCATCCCTGTGAAAAATTGATTTATAAGTTGGACAGACATACAGTAAAATAATCCTGATAAAAATTACACGTGCATGCAAACTGTTATATTGTACAATGTGTACTTAATATAAGGTCTGAAAAACACTTACCTGGATAGCTTCTTCAGCGTAGTTCGCGCCCAGTGTGATGTATGTTCTCGCCAAATACCTCCACTATTTTCTATTGTCCACGGTTTAGGTATTAAAGACTCCTTGTTCTTCGGATGAGCGGAGAAAACAGCTTTATTGACGACAGCGTAACGCGAACGTAATGTGTACCGTCTAAGCGTTATTGCTTGAGATGACGAAGAAATTGCTTGTTACTAGTGGCCGTTGTGGGTGTAGTTAAAAAAAATTGATCATATCAAAGTTTAGGTAAAATATATTAATTAGAATCAGTTAGAGGAAAGTTTCCTTTCTAGCTGTGATATTTTTACCGTAACGATATTTTAAATTAATACAAATACACCCTGTAAGGGAAATACATTCACAGTAACTATATAATACAAAGTGTCCGAAATCTACGTAACAATCAATTTCTACTCTGTTCTATCACCTCTTTATTTTTGTAACAATTATTTACTTTATATTGAGACCTTGTAGCCCAGGATTCATAATTGAATTTAACAAAAAAAAAAAAAGGTCTGAAAAGAAATTGTAGTTTATATTATCCATGTGTTTGGAATCGCTTGTCATGACTCTACAACGTACTTTTGGCTAAAGCGGTTTTTTAAATTCCTTAACCTAATTTCTTTGTTACGACAAAGAAATTAGGCTAAGGCTAAGGCTAAGCGACATTTTAGTTCTATTTAATTTTGACGTTTAGGAGAAAATTGACATTTTGAAACCGGGACTTTATTTTGAGTTTTAAACATTTTCCTGTTCATTTGTTAAATATTTTTAATTTAAGCTTCTTTAAATAACACTCGTAATAAAGTACTCTGAAGCAATTTCGCTGCATTTAAGTGATTCATTATCTTAGACCGACTTCGTAAGGGCTTTTTACTGTTCTGAATGACGTCAACGGCTATTACAATATATTTTTTATAATTCGCTTTGTTATCTGATTTTCCATTACACCTCCCTTATTGTCTCCTACCCATAGCAAACTACTACGCTTTAGAGTTAAAACACAATATTTCCTCATTTAAATAGAAAAATATTTATTTTAAACTACGATCGTTGTAAACTTTTGTGATTCAATATTTTTTATGGATTGAGACGTAAGGGAACTAATAAAGGGGTATTAGCATTTCATCATAATCATCATCATCATGATCACAACCCATCACAAGTCTATTGCTGAACATAAGCTCCCTCCAATGAATGCCACAAAGCACGGTTCTAAGCCACCTGCATCCATAGACTTACTGCATCTACTACCATATCAGTTGCCGGTTCTCTAAGCTACATGAACGATAAATTGCCATATAAGCAGGAGATATTTTCTTAGTGAACGCACGTGAGTGAAAGATTGGTAGCTCAGGGACGTAGCGCTCGTCGCAAATTTCACTGAACCCAAGCAACTCGCGTTCAGACCTCGATAAAACTAATTGAAATTACGAATTGCAATCAAAAGTGCTTATTTATATCGGCTTGAAGATTATAGAAACACCGCGGGAAAGCTGTTTGTCTGCGGAATAAAATAATTCCAAGTCATGTAAAGTCGGGTAAGAACTTGAAAATGGGGTCGTTACCCCATAAAATTTATAAAAAAGGCCTATATACAGCAATAATTACCGTAACATTACAAAATTACAGTTTATATAAAAGACGTATAAGTATGTAATTTTACTTCTTCTTCCTGCCCATATCCCAATTAATTTAGGGTCGGCATGTCGTGTCTTCCCTTCCTTTCTCCTTGTTGTGAACCTTTGGTGGCTGGTGTATCTTGTCTACTTTTGTAGGGAGGAAAACCATGAAACTGTTCACATCAGTTGTAGTCGCTTTATTTTTTACATCAGAGATGCGTGTTCACATCCAAAAAGGAGCTGTACTACTGACTAACAGACTGCTGTCCCGCCGGTTGCGGTCGTTATCATATTTTACAAGAATCACAAAGACATTGACCCGGGAGACGCACGTGTGTGTTGTGTGAGCAGCACTCACAGTGCTCCCCCTTATTAAAAATGAATTTAATACATCATTTAGCAAAAAGTTTGATCTAAAACGATACAGCCTTACTTCTAACTAAAACTAAGCAGGTTGTGCGTAGAGTCTATTAAGTTGCTAGCAAACAATGCTCTTTCCTGCTACGTCGCTCGACCTATTTATTTTCAATGATAATAATACAGCGAAGCAGGGATCTAAAAATAGTCACGGGTACATTACATTGAATTGGTTAGCACTATGCCATAAAATGTCGTGCCGTGTAGTGGCGGTTAGGAAAATCCACTACCACATATCTTCCCGGGGGTGCCGTAAAAAACGACAGAGGGAAACAGGCAGGAGATGGGCAGCAGCATATTCCTGATAGCAGCAATTGTACAACAAAAAAACTGCGGTTGTCAAGTCGCTCACAAAGCGTGGCAACTATGGCTATATACCCTCCATAAGAAACGACGCAAATAGAAGGCCCCAGCCCCCGGTGGCCCCGCTATTCCTGGCTACGGTGGCGAACATGGTAATGGCGGGGCAGGGGGTGCTAAGATCTCTGGTGTGGATGTTCGGTTGCTACCTACGACGACTCGACCTGGTAACACGCGCCCTGAGGACTGACGAGAAGATCCTGGAGCTGGAAGAAGAGATGGATAAGTTGCGCTGGAATATTACAGGATTATCCGAGGTCCGAAGAGAGGGGCAGGACACGGTTATTCTCGAATCCGGCAACTTGTTCTATCACCGGGAGGGCGACCATCCGTCCCAAGGAGGTGTTGGATTTATCGTCCACAAGTCTCTCGTTAACTACGTTGCAAAGATTGGGAGTGCGTCGACGAGGGTTGCGTACCTTATACTCAGAATCACCAAACGGTATTCGCTGAAGGTCATACAGGTTTACGCGCCAACATCGGCACATCCCGATGAGGAAGGCGGAGGAAATATATGAGGATATTTCTAGAACCATGCATTCCTCCAATACTAACTATACGGTGGTAATGGGAGACTTCAACGCAAAATTAGGTACAAGAGAGAATGGTGAGCTGAAGGTAGGGAAATTTGGGATAGGGCAATGGAACCCAGGGGCACAGCAGCTGGCTAACTTCATGGAGAAAGAGGAACTCTTTATGATGAACTCTTTCTTCCAGAAGCGGCCCCACAGAAAGTGGACCCGGTTAAGCCCGACGGTTCGACAAAAAATGAGATTGACTTCATTATGTCGACCAAACGTCAACTGTTCGGTGATGTCTCAGTGATTGCAAGGGTGAAAACTGGCAGCAATCACTGAATCTTTACAGGCATACCGAACCTAAACGATAAGTTGGAGAGGTCTCGTCCAATGAAGTCAACGCTCCGTCCCGCTCGCGCTCTAATCCGAAATCCTGAAAACTTTCAGCTCAAGTTGCAAAACCGTTTTCAGTTCCTACAAGATTGCAATACAGTGGACAATATTCATGACAAGCTCGTTGAAACTGTCCATGCAGTCGCAGCTAAGTTCTGCAGGACCCGGAGCAGAAAAACACAAAAACTCTCCGATCACACTCTTAATCTCATGGATTTTAGACAGAAGATGAAGCTGCAATCGTAAACAGATTTGACAGCATACAGTTAACTGAACAGACAGATCTCCAAATGCATGCGGTGGGACCTACGCATCTACAATACGGCTCGTATTGAAGAAGCGATTGAGCGGAACCAAAGCTCCAAAGTCTTTGTCAGAGACCTGTCTGCCAGAAAGAGTAAACTATTGAAGCTGAAGACTGAGTGTAGCAGCATCGTTTCTGAGACACCTGAGATTTTGAGTGAGATTTAGAGGTTCTATGGGTACATATCATCGTTGGAGCCACATGCAAGTGTGAGTAACGATCCAAGAGCAAGTCTTATCCGACAATATTCCAATGATATCCCGGACTGTCCCGGACTATATATGCTGGTTTCAACCTTTCAATTGAAATATCTTATTATTTCTACTCAAGACGCTGTAGGGGCCATCGTAAGTAGGTGTCAAAGGTTTTTTAACCGCATCATTTCTTATGAAAACATGACTGCAATTACTCAAGTCCTTATAGACAAATAATTTCTGCGAATTGCTTTGATATTACCACCCGCGACGTCACAATATATGCTTTTATTAACTTTGGGAATACTGTACTTTGTTCGACACGCCGGTGTCCTGCGAAATTTGAACGTCGGCTTCCTGCGTTGTCCGTAATTCCTCGTAATTTATGACCGTTACACAAAACATTGTTGCAATACGCGATAGCGCATCTGCGACTGGATTTTTCTTAACATTGACATGTCGTATACTGCTGATGAACTCGCTAATGTGTAACAACTGTCAAACTCTAATTCGTTGAGGGGTCTCTTTACTGGAATTCACAGTCAGAGACTTGTGGTCTATGTAAGCGGTCATTTCCTGTCCTTCTATCGTGTTTT